TGCGTGGGAGAAGGACAAGACGTACCAGGTGGCGCTGCGAATGCGTGACCTCGGCAATTGGCGTGTGGACGTCGACGGGGAAACGATTTTCGAAAGGAGCTCTGACGGCCCTCTGTTGAAGAGGGGCACGATGTCGCACTTCTACGTTGGCGGGGACGGCGCGAAGGCTGCAGGGGACGGCCACCGCGTGACGGTGAGCAACGTCCTGCTGTACGACCGCCCGCTGGAGAAGGGCGATGTCAGGGCACTCGCAGCCGGCAAAGTCGCCATCCCGCCGCCGGATGCCGGCAGCTCGCCCACAACGCAGGCGAAAGGTGGGGGTGCTGACGGTGCAGAGCCCGCCGCCAGCGTCGCTAAGGCCGCGAGCACCGCTGCCCCGAGGGCGCGGAGCTCAAAGAGCGACGGCACTGTGCATTGGCGTGTGCCGCAGGTGCTGCTGCTGCTGCTGCTGGAGCTGTGCGGCGTTGCGGCTTTGTGCAGAGTGTGAGGCGGTGCGGGGCTGCCGCACCCGTCGCAGCACGTCCGCTGCCTGATTTCCAATTAAATTTCTATCCGAGGAGGCCTCAATCTTTTCTTCTTGTTTTTTTTGTTTTTTCCCCTTTTCGTTTGTTTCTTTATTGCCCCTGATGTTGTGCTGGAAGAATAAGCGCCCTAATGGTATCTCTCGTTTTCTTTTATCTTTTTTTGCCTTTTCTGCTACGCGCGTTCTCACGGGCGGCGCACCCTTTTTCCCCCTCCTGTTTGCTGCTGCAGCCCACACACCCACAGGCGGTGCCGGCCGCATTGCTGTGCGCCGCACGGATGTGACGCAACTGCCGGGTGGAAGCGCAGGCCGAACGCCGCATGAAATGTGCGAGTGGTGTGTGGGCCCATGCAACGAGGCGATGTTTCCTTTTTTATTCGTGCAGTTATTACAGTAAACACACTCTTACAGTCCTCTTGTGCTGCTGGACGCTTGAAAGTAAAGAAACACCGGCCGAAGTAATTCTTCTTTTTTGTTTTCTCTAAGTTCCGTTGGGCTTCCGCATTGTTTTTTTTCGTTTTAATTTTGCTGGAATAACTCGCCGCGGCTCACGTTTAGTTTGTGCGCCGTGTCCGCCGCTGTCGCTGCGTGTCTCTTTGTGCGTTGCCTTCCGCCGCTGGCTGTGCCGCAGACACGTCCCCATTTCCCCCTCCTTCTTGCTAGAAGCACCGGCAGTCCGCGACGACGGCTCTTTTTTCGTTCCCCGCTGCGGTGGCGCGGGAGTGACGGGACGTGCGGCTGCCGCGGCGGGAGAGAAGAGACGGTGTGTGCGTGTGCGGCGTGTGTCTCGTCGCGCGTGTGCGGGGCTCTCTTTTTATCCTCGCCCCCCATTTGTGCGTGTGTGTGCGTGAGGCAACTGCGTCCGCGAAGGGTTCTTCTGTCGCCGCCACGGAGGCGCAGGCAGTCGCGCTGCACCAAGAGAAACGAAAGAAAAACTGCGCGACGCCTGCTGGAGGCAGCGTCACTGTGCGCGGCGTCCCGCGTGATGCGTGCGCCCGCAGGCGCTTCGGTGGGGGA